TAGCTGGAATCATTCATTCAGGTGACTTCTAAAAAGGTCTTAAATAACACAGCCTTCCTAAAATAACTTTGTTTGTTCTCTGGTCACAGTCGACATGACAGGGGCGTGATACTGATTGTGTTCAATCAGCTGATAGCTATATTCAAACAGTTTGGTTTTTCATTGACCCTGTAAAAATCTTCTGGCTTCCTCATCCTCTATGACGAGTCACATCAGATACGAGAAACAAGTTTGAATTTCAGGCATACTTCCTCAGAAAAAAGCCCTGCCAAGAGTAATTCAACTGATTTCCTTGATCTGGACAAAAAGGGGAATCCACATGGTGTTGGGAAAATTACAACATAGTTCCCTTCCTGTACTTACATGAATCTGTAAATATTTCCTGTGTGTACATACTCATTGTAATGTGTCATATCTTTCGGCTTAAAAATTGAGCACACCCAAATGACGTGGTGACATTAACCGAAGGTAAAAAATAGACAGCAGCAAGAGGAGCTGTTACTTGAATTAGAGGTACAGAGACCCCATAGAGTCCCACCATTGATGTGCAGTGACTCTAGAATCCACTTTCAAACTACATCCTTGGGCCGGTGGGATAAGTTGCAATTGACATTTTGCGCCAGACTTCAGAAACAAGCCTGGCTTTCATGCTGCTGTTTGAACGCTGGGGAAATCACTCGCAAAAGGTCACTGAGCCCATTTCCTTTCTTTCCTCTTCATGCATCTAAAGACCTGTAATAGCCCCTTTCAACTGCACTTCACTTTCTGGCAGACATATTCAAATGTCTATATAGGAAGTGAAAGATAGGTAAACCAAAGAGTAAAAAGGGAATGAGATAGCAGATTTTATTACAGCTTTACCATGGTTTCTCTAACATACAACTTCCCATCTTGAAATGAAGGACTTCCTGTTTCTTTTGTTTGCATTAAACAGTGCAGTATTCTTCTTTAACAGTTATTACATTAATAAAGCTGAATTTGAATCCTGAAGGCTGCTTTGCTTATTTAAGTGCCCTTTGCTTTTTGAAACGTAGGACTACTACATGTCTCTGAAGTCCTTCTTCTCCATCCCACAGGTGATCCAAAGAGAAAATGCCCCTCTGCTCCACAAATGTCTCAAACAGGTGCAGTCCACCGCCCACACCAAAGTAATGGGATTTGGTGGCGACGTAGACCAGTCCATCTGGTGCCAACAGCTTGTGGAGGGTCTTGTGTAGCGATGGGTAGTATGCAGTGTTGTAGATAGTCTCTGAGGTGAATATAAGGTCGTATTTGGGTTGTGGATTCTCCTGTTCAACCAAAGCAAGAAACGTGCACCAGTCACCGGAGAAAAAACGACACTTGGCTAGTAATGGTTGCTGGGATAGGTCTGTGGCTTTTTTCTTAGGTGGTGGGTTGCCATCTTTTTCATCTTCTTTGTCTTTCCCCTCCTTTTTGCAACCATCTTCCTCCTTCATTTTGCCCTTGCCCCTCCCATCTTTGTCATCGTCACTGTCTACTTCATCCTCCTCCTGGCAGTTTATTATCACATTTGGCAATGTAAGCTGCTCAATAACTGTACTGTTATAATCTTGGAAGTGGACCTGTCTGGCTCCTCTCTGCAGAGCCAATATCCCCAACAGCCCCGCACCGCAGCCCAGATCTAAAACCGCCTTCCCCCCGAAGGTCTCTCCGTCTTTCTCAATCAGCTCCAGAAGGTCGTAAGTGCACTCCCACACCTTCAGCCCTCCCTCGTACACGCCAGATATAAGATCAGACCTCTGCTCCGCGGTACGAGAGAGGATTTTCTCGTCGTCCTCTCTCTCCAAAGCAGTTTTTTCAAAAACAGTCTCATTGAGGAAGTGAAGAGGAGGGAGTGTTCCTATGGTAACTGATTCAGTGACAGCATCCCTAAGGATGAACTGTGGGTCAGACAGTGGAAGGTGCTCTTTGGCCTCTTTCAATGGCTCGGCAGGTTTTGTATCATCCTCCGTCTGAAAATACAAAGCAGTTTGCATGGGCAGGAAATAAATGTCTACAGCACACGTTATGTGGTTCAAGTTAAAAATATCATTTGGCAGTACAGATATATAATTCAGCAATACAATGAGGCTGTGTGGGCTGGAGGCAGAAACTCAGAGGACAGGAATGTCCGGATTAAGATGACCATGATCCTCACAGAGATGTCCATTGAATTGTATTGCTCGTAAATTGTTGATGTGTGTCAATGAAGTAACAACATGAACACTGTTGGTTTTTTGAAAACAGTATTCTAAAACTAAATAAATTAAATATTAAAACAGTCATTTAACATACAGTAATGTCTCACTTACAATTCCTAAGAACCAATATTAGTAGTGGTGATGTTGAAACACTGCTTTTTGAGGCTTTGATAACTACATTGAAAATAAGTCTAATCAACTCCAGGTTTCATTCAACTTGTCTTATGTGACATCTGCTGGTGAAATGAAGGTTGTCAGGCCAAATGTAGGAACTTGAATTTAAACAAATATAAAAGTGTGCCGTTTGATTAGATGATAATTGGTTTACAAGGATACTACAGGCAATGTACCTTATTTATTTGAATTCTACATGTATATAAGTAACTTAAATATCTATACTATATAAAAATATGCTCCACTAATTGACTGGCTAATGATTTAGAGAATATTATGTGGGCAGTGGTCGGTCTAAATGTTAATGCAGTCCCATACACCAGAGCACAACAGTTCAGATTTTTATTTTCCTCTGAACTTTGATTTTAGACACTACACTAACAACTCAGTAGTGACTCGGGTACTGATCATACAATCAGTATGAATGAGTTTTTATTGTCAGTCCTCTGCCCTGTGACGTCAAGGCTCGTGGCAAAGAGCATGTCAACCTACGCTCTCTAGTGGATGCACACCTTAACCATTTACATTTTCATTGTTGTCAAGTTGGAATCATACAGCTGAAATGACTTGATAAGTGAATATGCATGAATTGCTTGGCTGATTTGGTCAATTTAGGAGAGGTTTAGGGGGTTATTGAGCTATCTCACATCCTCAAAAAAACAAAAACAACTCTATGTAGGGGTGTGTGGCGCAGTGGATAGAGCGTTGGTGTTCGGATCAAGGGGGCACAGGTTCAAACCCCACTGCAGTCAGCATGTCGTTGTGCCCTGGGCAAGACACTTCACCCCAAATTGCTCCTGTGGGGATTGCCCACAGTATTGAGTATGTAAGTCGCTTTGGATAAAAGCGTCTAACAAGTGACATGTAATGTAGATAATCCAAAATTACCTATCTACCTTATGCATATAGTTTGTGTGTGTCTGTGATCTTTTCCTGTATCTATAATAATAAAAGAAAGGACGATCACCATATCTTCATAGTTGGATAAATCCCAAAATCAATACCATTTCATCCTTGGATTTAGTCTGAACCCTTTTTTGCAAAGACAATGATATAAGAATAAACTGAATTATTCATTATAATGTGTAAACACCACCTTAAGGAATGTAACTTAAGAAACTGTAGAACTCTTCTAAATGTAAAATAAACATGTGCAACAGGTAATGAGCTACAAAAAAAAACTGTAAGTAGACCTAGATTTTTTGGAGAATAAACTTTCAATTATGAATGTCTAGTTTTGCTGTTTGCTTTGGTGCTGTTCTTGACTATTTGTACCCCTTTAATCGCTGGAATTTCTATAGATGTGATTGTGAATGCAATGTGGATGTTGTACTGTAATATGTGTAATTAAAATAGAAGAGAAGGGTCTATATAAGCCTAGTGCGAGGGTCCTGATTTCCCCTACAGTACCAAGCCTTTATAAACGTATTCACGCCACTGCATGCACACATCATGGCACGTATTGTATATTTCTTTAAATATTGACCAAATCCTTGCCATCAGGTCAGTTTCCTGAAGTCCATAAAGCACTACCTGACAATTTTGAGTACTTAATCTCAAACACATTGTTTGTGAGGTAATGTTACTCACGGATTTAGCTGCAGTCTCTATTTTTTCTTTTTGCACTTTATATCCATCGTCTCCGTCCGGGTTGGTTGTTAGAGCTGAAAGGTCAAAGTTAAAGCAAAAGGACATTATGACAGTCAACACAGCACAGCTAGCTGTAGTTTAGAGGCTGGAAAGTTGGTATCCCCGCTCACTGCTGCTGGCTCCACATGGCAAGCAAGTGTATCTAAGCAGACAGCTGCGTGTAAGAACTACATATCCCAGAAGTCTGCCTATCAAAATAACCGAAAACGTTGATGTTGTTATAGTGGATAAATGCTTCAAGTTAGTTTTGTTCGGGTTTAGAGGCATATGGTTGTACGAAATGCAAAAACAGAACTATACATTGTTGAAGAAACTCTCCATATCTGAATGTCATTTCCTGACTCAGACTACCATGATGCCTTTCGATGTGATTCTTGCGCAGGCGCAGTTGCTCTGGATCAAGATTGAGATTTGTTAACTGTCACAGAAGGTGCCTGGTCCTGCTCTATAATACAATTTTTGCTTCCCTTTTGGAAAATGTCGACGGGTGGGACAGTTTCGGAAGGATTTTTGCCATCATAGAACAGTGAGTGTTCTCTCTAAAAATATGCAATGTTATTAAATATCAAAACGCAGCACACAGCGTCGGGTACGCAAAGGAAAACATTTGTGACATCCAGACAAAAGGGATTTGGGAGGCTTAGGTTCGTGTTGACAGCTATGTTTATTATGGACACATCATATGTTATCGCTTTCCAGTGACGATAGTTTAGCTAGTAATCTTGCAATGGCATTATAATAAACATTGGCACATAGCAGTTCCTGATGGTGTGAAGCTGAATTTCTGCTGCTGAGTAAAGTCAACTGTACTTCAGCCCACTGCCCCTGTCACCACACCTCAGGTGACTGCTGCACCTTCTTCACCAAACCCAGACTCCACCCCGGCTGGAATGCAGTAAAGCAACTAGGCTTTTCGCATTTTTAGCCGCCAGCCCTTTCATTGTTTCTTGTATGGTTACCTCTATATATCTATTTTATTCACAAGCGAATGTTCTGGCTTGTTCCTCCATCAGCTTGACCGTTAATTTGATGAGGCTAAAGTGTCAGGGGTCAAAGACAGATGTGCTGAGTGTTGAAAACAACTTAACTAAAGAAGGAAAGTTCTCTGGTCGAAGGTTCAGGCATTGGTAAGTTGGATACATAGAGGTGAAACTACTTCAATAATCTATTAACGTTTTGTGTTAATCACTTGTCAAACTTTAAGTAGGATTTTTAAAGTTCTATTACAGATAATATCTTGGTATGGTATTGTTTATCAAACAAAGACATTGAAAGAGATAATTTTCACTTTTTACATAGTATAGAAGACCAAACCATTAAATGGATAACACGAGAAAATATAAAGCAGTTAATGCAATAGTAAATGCAACCTTTCGTTCTTTATCTCCTTTAGTTAGGACCCCAGTAAAATAACACAGATCCGACACTACGCTAGCTGAAATCACTTTTCATTTCCATTTTGTTATTTCTTGATATATTATGCAATCAGTGTAACAATTCATTGAAATACATTTAATCATATTTGACTCATTTGAACTAAATCTGTTTATTTGTTTTCTTTATTTTATTTGCAGGTGCGTGCATATTGCAGATGCATAATGCGGTGGTGTCCCAGCTCATCGTTCCACCTGCTGCGGTGTGTGCGGTTACGGACCTGTACCAAGAGAAGAAGAAACACACTGCCACTGTGGATTAGGGAAATATGGGCTTACATCAGACTGCTGGTGCAGTCATTTTACTTTAACTCCCTCACAGACTCAGATGTGGTTTTCGACTCAGTCTTTGAGCCAGTGTTTTGGACTGTGGATTATATTACACGCTGGTTTGGCACGGTGAGTGTGTGTTTGTCTGTTTGCTTTCATTAGTTTTGAGGAGTTTTGAAGTTTTTCTCTGAAGAAAGTTTCTGTGGGTATCCCCTGTCTTTGTCCTACAGGTGTTTGTATTTCTCGTGGTGTTTCTGACCAGCTCCATCTTGGCAATAGCCTACCTGTTCGTCCTGCCTATGGTCTTCCGCACATACTCCACAGCATGGATTACCTGGCACGTTTGCTATGGACATTGGAACCTGGTCATGATTGTTTTTAATTACTACAAAGCCACCATGACTTCCCCTGGGTACCCTCCCACAGTAAGATATTCACTTTTCTACATAACCACACGTAGCTCTACTAATCTGTGCTTGATGCTTAAATTAGTTATGCAACAACATGTTCTCTTTCAATTAGGTAAAAAATGACCGTCCATTTGTGTCAGTCTGCAAAAAATGCATCATTCCCAAACCAGCAAGAACCCATCACTGTGGTATCTGTAACCGGTGAGTCAATGTCTTTGTATTTCTCTTCTCTCTCCTTAATTAATGCATGGTTTGTATATCTCATTTGGATCATGTTTCTTTACCACCATAGCTGTATTTAGATATTTTCACATATTTAGCGATTTTGATAATATTTCAATAAATTGTTTATTGCCTCATGTTAAGCAAGGAAAACTATTGTCTATATACGTTTCAGACTGAATATCTTCTTTTTCCTTTGCAGATGCATTCTGCGCATGGACCATCATTGTCGTATCCTTTGTGTTAACATTATCTCAAATGTTTTTTGTTATTTGATAACAAATAAATGTTGGTTTTCCTTAATGTCACCATGTCAGCCTGGTTGAATAACTGTGTGGGTCATTTAAACCACCGTTACTTCTTCAACTTCTGCCTCTTCATGACCATGGGCTGTGTTTTTTGTAGCTTCAGTGGCAGAAACCTCTTCCTGGATGCATACAATGCTATTGAGGTAAGATGCCCACACTCACATTGTTGGCCTGATCGGGGTTTTGCCCTGGCAATCATTGTTAGTTATTCGGTATAGGTTTGGTACTTTTCCTCCATGCCTGGTGTCTTTCTCTACCGGGCTTTACTGTTCCTTACTGACACTTTCTTGTTTATGTCTTTAACACTTTGGGTTTGTGTATGCGGGCTGTTCCATTAGCGCTTTAAACATACGGATGTGGAAAAGCCGGGGGTACCAGTGACAGGGATGGGAGTTCTCATAGGGCTCCTCCCACCTGGCCAGGTAGAGTCTCAAAGTGCACTCAGAACAATTATAAATAAGCTTATGTATTATTATTTTGTATTGATCTAATATGTCCCCTTTTCCATTTTTCTCAAGACCAACTATCAGACAGCTGCACCTCCGTACACCTTTAAGGATAAGATGATTAATAAGAGCATCATCTATATGTGGGTGCTGACCAGGTAAAATATGCATTTCATTTTGCCACTTGCCATACAAAGGACAATGCTATCTAGTACACAAGTTCATAATATTACCAACTTCAAAACAAGCACTGTGTATGCAGTTCACACTGAAAGAAATACAGTGTAAACAGTCAGTAGTTTATATTGTGACGTGGAAGTTGTCTAGTATTATCTTGGCAGAGGATCAAATTAAACGTTTCTTCTTATTTTAGCACTGTTGCCGTGGCACTGGGAGCTCTGACCTGTTGGCATGCAGTCCTCATATCCAGAGGAGAGACCAGCATCGAAAGACACCTTAATCACAGAGAAAAAGAACGGATGGAAAAACGAGGACGGGTCAGCATGTTAAATATCTTCTATATGAAAAACATTTAATTTGGGCAATCTTTTTTCCACGATAGTCAAAAGTAAATTATTTGTCTTGTAAATGTTATCTTACTTTTTTCTAAACTGCTCTGCCAGGTTTACAAAAACCCTTTTGACTATGGAAGGCTAAATAACTGGAAAGTGTTCTTTGGCGTGCAGAAGAGAAGGTGCGTCCCCCTGATAATGAATCTCATGCAGCATCAATCATCAACGTTACCTTGCACTGCTTGTAACCTGTTCTGCTTTATCTTTGTCTGCAGTCACTGGCTCACACGTGTTCTCCTTCCCTCTGGACACACCCCACCTGGGGATGGTCTGACATGGGAGGCCTTCCCAGTCAAAAAGGACGTAATACCTGTATGACAGACTCTAAACAGGTATCCATGGAGTCTATTTTCAGCAGTTTTTGCTGTGTACAACCCACTCTGGTTCTCTGGCTGGTTGGCTTAAAGGATCCTTGCAGGGTGGCTTCACACAGCTGAAGAAATTGGATAATGTTAACCTCCAATACCTCAAAACGTACAGTGGCATTGCTCATGGTTGGACGGTGTACATTTTTCTACAAGTAAAAGGGCAAGGTATCATGGATTGTTTATTCTCTGCTGGGTTTTAAAAACGGGTCTTTCTTGACTCTAAGTGTTGTAAATACTGCAGAACCCAGAAAATGTATTATTTATCTGTATTTTGTACCTGTTTAGTTAATAAATCTTTATAAAGTGCTTTACTTAAACAATGTGTCACATTGAATATTCAGATATTACTTAAGATGGACATTGCATTTTATAACACATACATAAATTGCATGTAAAAAATAACTGGTAAATGACTAACATGTTTTTTTTGCTAAAGAGCAAACAAGCTACAGCTCAGGAGTTATGTCACACTGTTGCTTACGCAGACAGACCCAGAAACATGCTGCTGGTAGAGAGGGATTTTTGAGATGCAGATTTGTTGTGCGGATTCATATGAATGTTAGATCAGAAAACAAGCAGTAAGGATGCACACAGATGAAAACATAAGAATAGAGGAGACGTGAAAATGTTCCCCTCTTAATTGAGCAACATCCAGCTGGCATTAAAATGATTCCAAGGAAATATATTTTATATAATATTTAGCATGTTATGCATTTGATGAGAAGGCAATCAAACAAATGAGTGGTGAGCGTGTCAGCTACAGGGTGGTGCAACAAAAAGAGATGGCAGATAAAGGGAGAAAAGATTAAGGGAGGGTAACAGATTTGAGCCGGTTTGCAACCCTCTTCACGCTGCCACCACTCATCACATCCCCCACTCTGTCTGAAACAGACCACACACACACACACACACACACACACACACACACACACACACACACACACACACACACACACACACACACACACACACACACACACACACACACACACACACGGCTGTCAGTATTCACTCCTCCAGCAGATGTCAGTGTTCATCTTGTCAAGGTTGGACAAAAAGTGTACAGTGTGTTTCCAGGATAAAGATAATTGACAGTAATAAAAAAACAAAACATGTTTTTAGACGTTTTCTATAATAAGGAAACATTAGCTTTTATTTGTGAATATTAAACGGAATACTGTTCATTTATTTTGAACTGTACATGCATGGAGTTACATGGTTGTGATTGCATGGACACTCAGTGTGACATGCTATTATGAATGCTTCGTATGGATTTATAATGGCCATCCCAAGGCTTGGCTAAGCATAATTGATATGGTGCAAAAACATCCATCAAATTCTTTATTATCATATGTACAAAAGATACATTGCAGTCACAGGCTCCCCAACAGTGCAACGTGCAATTAAGACATTGAAATAAATATAGAATTCAAGTATTGTAACTAAACAGTTCAATTGACGCGATGGAACCATTAAAGTTGCAGGAAGATGGACTAAGCTAAAACAGAATGTAGAATTAAAGACTGTTCAGTCAGTAGTGCATTTTGTAATAGTATACACTGTTCTGGACTGTATACAGATATGTGCTGTGAACATAAGAAATTATTGCATATTCCTGATTTTATTTAATAAAAAAAAGGCAAAAGTGTATTCTGTCTGTAAAGAAAAGTAGCTTAACACTGACAATCATACCAGTATAAATACTCCCACCTTGCATTTCAGAATAAAAGCCCTGACAATAGGTTTGTTTACAAACATGTGTTGCTCAAAAACTCCTAACATTTAATTAAAAAAAATGTATTATCACCAAATGTATCGTAGTCACAGTTTTTATTTTTTCAAAACATTTTTTCCAATTACCTTCCTTTGCTATTCTGAAGGGGTAATTTCCCAGTTTCCGCTTTTATTTTGATGAGCTCGAAACTCAGAGCTAAAGAAGGATAACAGAATTCGTTTAAACTGCGCATGCGTGTTGACTGAAGGATTTATTCTAGATCAGTGCCAACGGATTGTGCGGGTGATCTGCATTCATTTTTTCCGGGGATAAAACGGAAATTGATGGCTGGTTTCGTTGTTTTTTATTGTTCAGGAAGCTGTTGATATTGTCCTGAGGCTCTGAAGGGCCTGACTGGTCCCCAGCCCGTCAGCTGCCTCAGTCTGCTGTCAAACTGCTGCATCTCCTGCTGATCGTCGCGTCAGGCTGATAACTTCACTTGGAAGCAAGTTTGGAGGTGGCAAGCAAACTGCAGACGAATGCATAATTTAGCAGACTGGATTTCCGGTAGGCAAAATTATTCACATATTTATTTATAAAATAGCTGACATAGCAAAACGCATGGGGTTACGTAGCCTACAAAATAATTCCCATCGCAATAGCCTACATGCTAAATTAAAACAGGGTAAATCAATTGTAATAGAAGCCTACATAACATTATGTGAGTGGAAATTGAGGGCAACAGCGACATTAGGTCCAGGCTCGTGCTCCCTGCCAGCTGGCAGTACACGTGACGTAAACATCGCAGGTTGTCTGACCTCGTAACAGGAACAAGGAGTGCTGAGCTGTCATTATTCCCCGATGAATGATGCTCTATATATAGGCACTTCATTCTAAATTATTATTATGAGCTGCTTTTTATCGCCCTTTTTATAGATACTATGATATTTGTTCTTGCTGTGGATTGTAGGGACGGTGATGGGGGGCTGTGTGGGCAGGAGTAGGATGGATGGACAAGGGAGTGCCCGAAGCTCGACAAGAAGCAAAAAACGTGGAGGTAAGAAGCTGGAACACATTGGACTCCAACCTGTCAGTTTCATAAACAGGCCTAACTTCATATTTGTGTGAATGCATAAGAAACACAAAGTTATTTTAGTAGATAATATTATTAAACCAGAAGCTGTGAATAAGAGTGTTGTTAAGTGAGATAAAAGGTTGTGATAATGTGAGTTTAAGAGAGCCTGCACATATTCTTATAAAGGACCAGCATGGTTAAATTATTTAGGGGCATTGCTTCTTTGATGATGTAGAAATGCAAGTTACACAGAAGACTTTTTTGATACACCAGACACATAATAATATCAGTCACCTTGTCAGAAACAGCCAAATGCTGCAATTTTTATGAGAAGATGTATCATTAACAATTCATGTATTTGTGATAAAATGCAGGTTGGGGGTTGGATTCCCAACCACACCCATGTTGCATTGACGTCTTCATCAGTCTGAGAGCTTAGTTATGTGTCTAATCTATGCTGTGCCTCTGCGCTGAAACGACAGTGTTTTACAATAACACTGGTCAATCCATTCCTTGTGGAAAAAATGTCTGTGCACTCTGCTGGATTGTTATGCATTATGTATGGAGCAACAGCAGCAGTGGCCTGCACACAGAGTTTTCAAAGTTTGACCTACTTAGTGCATGATTTGCTTTATGACGACCTGCAGCAAAATATATTTACATGATCATGTTCAACCACAGTAGGCTTCAGTAATGAACTGCCTGGCTTTTTGATAATGAAGATAAACCATCACATGTTGAGCCCACGACAGTATGCTAGCTTCACCTTCAGACTTTAATAGACTGACAGGGTTTATTGTTTTTTTAATAGGTTTAGCATGTTGCTTTGGGTATTTCTATCCTCTAAATAGAGCTGATAGGATTAGGCCTGTTGTGTAAAGAAGCTACCTTCTGGCTAGGACACTCAACTTTCCCTCTTTCCATGAACTGATCCTGGGATATTTTGAGGTTGCATGTTGTTGGGAGGGATATAAGTGAAAGTTAGTGTGGTCATTAAGTAATTGGACAGTTGTATCAACAGAAAGCGGAGCTCTTATTTAGAATTTGCTCATTGTGGCAAAGCAGTTTTTTGTCTCTTCAGTTGATCTGCAATCTGCTGGTTCCTCAGGTTGGCGTCTTTAAGGCATTAATGCAGACTTTTACCTGACTCACATCAAAGCTCAGATTAAGATCAGCCATGGGAGTACCAAACTCCAGGGAATACAACTACTATCACGGTCCAAACACACCCTTTAGGATTATGCCGAAAAGTAAGTATAGACTTTTGTGTGGCCTGAAATGCCATCATGTTTTCATGTTAGCGCTGTGTTTGAAGATTGAAGATTCAACTTATTGTCATTACGTATGTAACGAAACGGTTTCTCTGCATTTGACCCATCCTAGTGTTAGGAGCAGTGGGCTGCCATTATGTACGGCGCCCGGGGAGCAGTGTAGGGAATGGTGCCTTGCTCAGGGACACCTCGGTAGCACTTGGTCTTTCCGGGACTTGAACTGGTGACCTTCCAGTTGCCAAGCCAAGTCTCTATGGACTTCGCCACCACCGCCCAGCGTTTACACTGTACTTTGCCATAATTTCTCCCAGAATGTTTTGTGTACTGTATGTTGAGGTCAAGATTGTATGCACTGTCGATGCTTTTGTTTTTGCATTGATGTTTTTAGGGTAACAGGCAATGTTTGCAGTTGATGAAAAAAGAACATAAGGCAAAACAAATTAAAAAAAAAAAGAGAAAGAGGTCATAACAATCTAATTGATAAACTCCAAATTGCTGCGTCTGACTGAAATACATGCTTTCACAAGAGGTACGCGGATGACTTTGGGAAATGTGAGAATTAGTTTCACCTCGGGTTGCAGTGCTGATGTTTAGGAGAACACTTTGAAACTAGTCAATCAAAAGAAAACTTATTTTTACCAACTATTTGGATTGTCAATCCTTTGTTAAAGTACTATGTTTTATATTGAAATTGTAATTATTGCCGTTGGGTTTTTGACATTTAAAACCTCACCATGGCCTTTTTAAACTGGGATAAACATTTTTCCCCTTTTTTCCTTTTTTAGACACATTTTTACTTGTTAAGGTTAAAAATATACCGACACATACATTTATTATAAAAATAATTCTACCTTTCATCACAACTTCCAATATGAATATTATAACTAGTATTATTAGTAGTTATTAAAAAAGTTAACCAATGCCTGTTTTGGTATATTTTAGTTTAGTTTGTATATTTCCATCCGTCACAAATGTTTAAACTCGTAAGAAAACACACCCAGCTTAAATTCCAGGTAGCTAGGCTTACAGCTGTCAAAGCTTTCTGTCACTATACAATAACAGTCATGTTTACTTACTTCCTTGCAAGGAGGGTGGTAAAACATTCTTCAAATAAAGCAGGTTGTCATCCCTAATTACACATCCCTCTCATATGTCTTGTTTTGTGTGTGATGTGCTATGGGGTCATGACTTAAAAATATCCCAATAACCCTCTGAGCTAAAAGACTGTAGACCAAAACCCATGTTAATGCAATTATGTAATATTAATAACATGGGATCAGATGAATATAGAGTATAATCTCTACAGCAGTTTATTTTTCTTGTAATTATAGCTTTAAACTGAGAAAAAAGGTCATCTCTAAAGGTCATGGGGTCCCTTTTACCTTCATATGGTGGCCTGCATTGTTAATGACAGAAAATAATTTAAATCGGTGCATATTAGATGACGGGAATGGCCCCTCATGTCTAACTTAATTGACAAATGAAGACTTGTATTCTTTTTATGCAACATTTTGCATTAGAACATATATTTGGCCTACTGTCATTTGCAGAAGTTATGAAATCATGATTGATTTGTAGAAGCTTTGTTTTTATCCGTGTGCTTGTTGTTTACGACTTAGGCTTGAGTCTTTTTGCGTGCTTTCATTGGCCAGAGAGTGCTCATCTCTCCAACCAATGCCTTATGGGATGGGTACAGATAAATCCTGTTATGTTGAACCTGATTACTGCCTATAATCCACTGACGTGTGCTTGTCAATGTGAGTGCATGGCAGTGCACATGCACATTTTCGTTACCAGCCACTGCAGTAATCCACAACACTATAAATAATCGCTTTTTTCTTTGAATTAAATTACATTTCTTGGTATGCTGGTACACTGGATGTAACGTATGCCAGCATGGACCAAACACTAAAGATCTGTCAATGAAGGATTCTTAGGAAGAGCTTTTTTGTCCTTATCTGACCTCAATGGTATGAAGGTGACCAATAGTACATAACACAATAAAGTTATAGAACATTCAAAACATGTATCGATAATTTATCTTATTATATATTGAGAAATGTTTGTTCTTCTCATAATGACTAGTGTTTCTTTTTCAGTAATGATGCTCTTTAGATAGAGATAGATCATGTGAAATGTTTTTTAGTGATTTACATTTGTGCCAGAAGATATAGCTAATTTTAGTACATTTTTTTATTTCAAACAATATTTTTTACACTCACTCTTGCCTGAGGTGATGGTAAAGAGATCAGACATTTTTCCTGGCACCTTTTAAAAACTAAAGTGTCCAGGAGAGCATGGCCTTGATGATATTGGGGTGCTATCTCAAATCAGTCCTGTATTTTCTTTCAGGACGCAATGAGCCCCTTAAGAAGGAGCGCCCAAAGTGGAAGTGTGAGTACCCGATGACAGAGGGCCAGCTGAGGAGTAAGAGGGATGAGTTTTGGGACACGGCTCCTGCCTTTGATGGACGGAAAGAGATCTGGGACGCACTCAGAGCAGCGGCCCTGGCTGCAGAGGGCAATGACCTGGAGCTAGCACAGGCTATAGTAGATGGAGCCTGCATCACTCTGCCACACGGTATGAAACCACTCACACATACACACATGGCCTTTCAGATGTAGAAACGTTCTTTATCCAGCTATCAATTGTAATAAGCCGTACATGTCCTGGAACCTCCAGCGCGGATGCATAAGCTTACTGTAATAATTCTCAAAATGTCAAAGGATAATTTCCTGAATCCCATGCATCAGTTGTTCAGAGATTACTGCTGTAATAGTTACATAATGGTCCCAGTGCTGCGTGAACACTCTGCATGGATTGGTGCACAAAAAGCCATGGCTGAGAGTTAAATGGAAAAAAACATTTATCTGCTCACACTCTAGAGCAGGGGTGTCAAACTCATTTTCACCGAGGGCCACATCAGCATAATCGTTGCCCTCAAAGGGCCAGATGTAACTTATAAATGTAACTAAATGCAATGTAACTAAATGCAATGTAAAATAAATGTAACTACTCCTTAATGTTAAATAACTCTGAATTTATTACTTATTCAAGTTACAAATATTACATATATATTTGCATAGATATAAAAAATATGTTTGCTTGTTGCTCTGTTATTATAACATAAATCCTTTTAATTTGTCAGGTTATGAAACGCATATTACTCCATCAATCAACGATCAAACTATCCAAGTGAATAAAGAAAAATAACATCAAACACAAGTTATGACATTAACTTTGTTCAAAACTTGAAATAACAAATAACTGTAAAACCAACAATTGTGAGCTGCTAAGGAACATGTGTGACAGATTGTAGCATTTTATTACAAAAACAATATGCTGCACACAGCCTGCAGGGGGCACACATCCAACTCATGAAGAGGTTTGATTACCAGCTAAACATTCGTTTTGCATAAACACATAAAACCTGCAACACTAAAAATAACCATTGCTACACATAAAAGTAGTATATGTAATAAACTTCAAATACAAAATAAGAGGTTGTCCCTCAGTACACAACTATATTGGTCAAGTTTTGAGGTTAGTTTTGAAATGAGGAGATCGCTGTCCTTGAACCACCATGTGGATCCTCTCCACCATCCTCATCCATCTTGATCATGTTCGTAATACAAACACAAAACAAAATGCAAACACAAGTCATTACATTGCACATAGTTAACTATGTTCTTAACTTGGTTGAAGCATTTTAATTATATAAATTATTGGTTTTTTCAAATGCTTACCAATGTGGTTTAACTGACGCAGATGTCTGACACCGTTTTTTCCCCGTGGACACAGTGTGTCCAATGTCTGGTTTTAGGTCCTGTGCTGTAGCAATCCGTAGAACAAGCGTGAGGAGGTTGCGTCAGATGCGTAGTCTGTGCTTGTTGTTTGTTTAGATTGCATTTTGAGAAACATCTGTTCACACAGATTAGGTGCTCCCAAAATAGACAGAACACGGGCAGCATGAAGTCCGAAAGCTGGGGCATGAAAGCAGGGGGCAGGTAGCGGTAAATCCTGGATTGTAAACATCTGGAACTTTGCTCTCAGGCCCACAATCGCTTGAAGCTCTATTAACTCACTCTGAAGTTGTTGGGGTGCAGTGCACACGTCGGTGGTGGAAAAGGACTAGCAAAAATGGCAAAATCCAGAGTGCCTGTGCTCTGAAGTCAGAGAGCGCCGATCCAACTCATTCATCAACAGGCTCAAGTTTGGTGCTAACTGGAGCACATGAGAAAGTACGGGACATGAGGCTGAAGAGCTCGAGAAACAGGAAAGTGGCAAGATTGTCCCTGTTCACTTTGGCACATCCAATAGGTCAAGTTTACGCTCGGAAAGTCCGGTGATCGTGTCGGACATCTGCCGGGTGATGACTTGTTTGCGTCCCTGAGCAGCTTCTGATTCAGTTGGGCGAGATGTTCGGTTATGTCACAGCAACATAGCAAAGTCACACAGCCCAGTTTGGATCTGACAGTTGTCAGACAAGGGTTTTCCTTTACTCTGCATGAAAGAGAAATGTCTTCCCTAGCTCAAAAAACGTTTGAGGACTTTGGCCCTACATCAGCCACCTTACTTCCGTATGGTACGGCACGTCTCCGTGCTCCGAGCCCATCTCCTGCAAGAAAAGCTGGAACTGAACGATGAATTCAGGCCACGCGCCCCGAATGAAGTTCACTGTCTTCATGACCGTGGTCACTATATCATCATCCCCACGCACCTTCCCAGCACAAAGCTTCTTGATGGATAATGCAATGATACTTATCAGATGTTCTGTGTGACAGTACTTTTCTTGCTTTTCCTCACTTCATTAGTCCAACCAAAGCCACGTTTTCTTCCCAGCACATTGCAGGTGCACCGTCTGTAGTTAATCCCACCAAAGTTTTTCCGCAGGGCAATTGCGTTTTTTACTGACGACTTCTCCCCACCCGCATCAAAAAAATGTCCCGTCCCGTATGATGGTCCCATGCATGGCAGCCACATCCAACAGCTCCTCAGTGACAAGAGAGGTCCGACTTTCCACCCTCCTAATAAAAATTAGATAGCTGCGCTGTATCCGTGTTGTCTGTGCTTTCACAACCAGCTAATGAAAAGCTATGTAGCTGCGTGTCTCTCGGCAGCTGTGTTGCCAGGTTTCCTGCCTAATTTCTTAACTCCGGTCCCGGCGATGGNGGAGTCATTTGGGGGGGCTCTTGGGAAAAAAGGTTGGGAACCCCAGCTTTAGGAGATGTCTACAAATAAACAGTAGATATTTTTCATGAAACCATATAGTGCTTCACATAATAAAATATACAAGGGCTGTAGCCTGATATTTATGATATACTTTAGGAGCTGTTTGTGTTTGTTATACAATGTGTAGGTGTGTTTTGTAGAGTCTATGTGTGTGTTGTACATTGTGTAGGTGTGGGTTTGTGTGTGTACTGTAGGTGTGACCTGTGTCCCAAGTTTTGCGTCCGAAGCTCATTTAAGCGCATCCAAATTCAAAAAGAATGTATAGGCCATGCCCACATTCGTCATTTGTTGCGACACTTTGAATCTCAGATCATACTCACCCCCAAAGTATGTCTACATTTTTTTTTTTTTTTTTCGTCCATGCGTTCTTGAGTTATACATTTGTGGTGTTTTTGGCGCCCCCTATAGTCCAAAATGAAAATGCTTTGGAATGCGTATTACCCAAGACAGACTGAACCTATCCATCAAAATTTGTGATGTTTGGATACATTGTTGATGAGTTATGAGCATTTCTTTCTAAGCCCCGCCTTTTTGCAAATACGTTTTGATTAATGGCGGCCATATTTATTGACTGAACATGCTCATTTCCTACTGTAATGTGTGTGACCCTCCATCAATGGAGTATAATAAGTTTGGTGTCGAAAAACTAAAAATTGAAATGTAAGTGAATATTTCACTGTTTGGAACATTAAGCTAATTAAATAAAAATCAAAGTAGGCGGAGCATAGGGGTTAAAGAGGACCAAATGTAGAGCAGGTCCACCCGGAGAAGTGTGCAAAATCTCAGGTTAAACAGACTTACGGTGTGACTATGTTAATTTTTTCCCAAATTATTTACATATATGTGGCGCTAGCCAGCATGTTGGACAATTTGAACCCATTGACTCCAGAATGTAAAAATGTTCACCGGACCTGGCGTCCATGCAAAATTATACAACTTTTGAAGCGTCGTAAAGCCCTCAAAAACAGGTTTAAATCGCAGGAAGAAGAACAACTCCTAGGATAACAATAGGTTCCTTGCACTTCGTGCTAGGATGCCGTTGGGTCCTAGCGCTCTCGTGCTCGGGCCCTAATGAGAAGTTGCTGATGTGGGTATAGCTCGGTGTCATATGTTGGAGTAGTGGGATACAAACGACAGACACAAAGAAAGAAGGGAGAATAAAATGTAGTAATGGGCAAAAAAAAAACTAGACATACTTTGGAAAGAGAGGAACACTGCAGGACTCGGACTCGAGTCGGATTCGAGTGCCGATTTTCGTGACTCGTGACTCGACTCGGACTCGTGCACTGATTGACGCGACTCGGACTTGGACTTGTGAATTCTCGCATATGCTGACTTGGACTCGGACTGGTGAATTTTTACCCCCACGATGACTCGGACTCGACTTGTACAATGAAGCTCTGACTTGGACTCGGACTTGTGAATTTTCCCCCTCACGATGACTCGGACTCGACTTGTGCATTGAAGCTCTGACTTGGGCTCGGACTCGAGCAAGTTTTCTCTAGAGTCTGATGTCCTCTATCCTGGCATGTGCACCTGTGAGGCGAGTTCACGGACTGGGCCCCGCTATTCCAGTCTAGAGATGTCTAGAAACACACCCCGCATCGTGCTGTATGCTTTCACACATTCTGTTTCCACATTGGAAAAGAGCAGCGCAAAATGCTCGTTATGTGGAAACAATATTGAAGAGAAGGCTCCGTAACACATTACTCTAAGGATCGAGTTCAGACATGTCTGTCTTGAACACTATCCTCAGAGTAACGTGATCTAATCAATAAATAAAGATTCAGCCGACAACACGAAAGCACATGGCTACTTAACATGCAGAATGACGTCATTTTGCATGCTAAGTAGCCATGTGCTTTCTGGGGCTAAATCTTTATCAGTAAACCGATTTAACCGGTTAAAGTTCCTTCAAAATTCCCGATCTTATTACTATCAAAATAAAAGTGCAAAACGAAAACTTTACCATAGGAAAATATTGGCATACACATATAATCACTCTCTAAAAGGTAACTCATTTTAAATATAGTTAGACATATTAAAGGTCATTTACAATAATAATAATAATAATAATAATATTAGAAATAAGCTTTATATTTGTATAGCACCTATTACAAGAATTTTAGCCAAACTTGCTTCACAGTTCAATAGACAGATTAGTATAACATGATAGGATAAAAGCAATGTAGAGGAGCACCTACATTTCAACACATATATCCATGAAGATTAATACATGAAGACTTGTGACTCGGACTTGGACTCTTCTTAGGTGACTCTGACTTGGACTCGGACTCGAACACAGGTAATGATGACTCGGACTCGACTCGGACACTCCTTGGGTGACTCGGACTTGGACTCGACTACGACTCTCCCTTGGTGACTTGGAATAGGGCTCGGACTCGAAGAGTGGTGACTCGAGAGTGACTTGGACTTGTGAATTGGTGACTTGACTACAACACTGGTTTTTGCATCACAACTGACACAGCAGCCATGTCTGCCATCACCGTAGAAACGCAGGAGTGTGCACTAACACAGACACACACATCACACATTGATAATTCAAATATTTGCAAGCTTATGTTTTAACCCTAGACACTCTAACATGTGTCTCCATGTCATTAAACCGGAAAACTCAATCTCCACATGGTTCTGGAAAGAGAGGTCCCTATTCACCCATACAAGAAGCTCTAAATGAAGTGTTCCAAAAGTGAAAAAATCTCATTGTAAAAATAAGAGAAATGGGGAGGATGAGAGAAAATAGGAGTATGGAGTAAAAGATCTGTGACATGCACAACCACAAGAAAGTCAGGGCTGAATGCATGCCGGACATTATCCAGGCCGGCGCCCAGTACTTGGAAAAACTTATTTCAGCTGTGTAAATTGACAGTGGCCTTGAGAGGCAGTGGCTGAATATGGAGAGGGAGAAACAGGGGAAGCCTATCTGTGTCATAATTCCTGCATAGTGAAGAAGCCGCTGGGGACCTACTCCTTCAGGGAAACAGTTTCAACATCAAATGAAACAGTGGTAATTGTTACCAAATGACACGGTGCATGTCAACTTAGCTCTACACAGTTTTATAGTCAAACAGGTTTATTTTACCTTCTTTGAGGAAATCTATCAATTCTAAATGAAAATACACACTGTAGCCTGGAAATGTAGAGGCTGTAAAGGAAGCTGAAGCAGGTGTGTCAGAATAAGTGTTAGTGGACCAGTATCAAGACATGCTCTGTCAGGATGTTTACACGTACTCGCTATTTTAGCATCTTCTCTCACAGGGTGTCATTACAGTAAATCCTGCTTTAAGACCTTGTGAGGCAATAATTTCATGTACAGTAGACAAAAACACCATTGCTGCTTGGATCAGTCATTCAATTATGACAGCGGATATAATTAGTGGTGGTCTTTAAACAGAACCGAGCCAATGGCTACCGGCCCTTATGGACATATTTCTTGCTATAGCCACAGTTGATTATAGATTGTAAACACACATTGGTTTACATGATTACAGACTTTTACTTTGACTTTCTCTAAACGACTTGGGGGAGCAAACACAATATAATTCAGCACAGATCAAGCACGTAACAGTGTATGTCAACAAGGTCCTGATCTCAGGGTTATCAATCACGTGAGTCAGAAGTGAGATGGTCCTAAATTGGAGGGCCGATGTGAACAGGGTAGGTGGTGAGGATAATGCATGGTTACACATGGAAGAATGAACATAGAGAGTGGTTTGACATAATACCTGGGTTTCACTGCAGAGAGGGAAGTGGTGGCTCTTGGCTTCTGTGTGTAGAGGCTAAGTGAATATGGGTGTGTTTGTACAAACAGCCATGCCTGCTGCTAGTGTTTGCGACAGAGCATGTATGCGTATTTTGCTGTGCATAGTTAGAATATGTTTT